GATACGATCCAGGATAAACATGTCAAAAATCCAGGATAGCTAAAGTAATTCGTCACCCATGATATTAATAGGTAATCAAATGGTATACTCGTGAAATTAGGGAATAATTTCACTTACGTTTTGTCCAAATCCTAATAATTTCCCTCGCCTAAAGGCTCGGGAAATTATAAGGCTCTGGACAAAACGCGCGTGAAATTATTCCCTAATTTCACTCGTCACAATTTGATTACACATACTTACTACTATTTATTATTATTATTATTATTATTATTATTATTATTAGGAGCTTTTTAGCATTTGTAATAAGTCGAATTTCTGTGCGCCTCAGAAAGATTGCGATATTTTAGTTAAGGTCACGTGACTGCGAACAAAACATAATTGCAACTTAAATGTGGTTACAATGTGGAGGAGTGCAGATTAAATTTCACACGGGGAGGGACGCATCTTTTACCAAAATTGCCCATGAAAACGAAGACATGTTCCCATCTTTTTTGCCCCGCCTGTTAACACTCTGCTAACCAACCGTCTTGCAAACTAGTCACTTGCTTCAATTTCTCCCGAAAATATCTTTATCTTGTACACTTGAAACGAGTTCTCTTACCCGAGTTCACAATCCGTCTCCGGCTTGCCGCCTAAAATATCACCACTGGTTTTAAAAGTTGTTATTCTGTATGTTGTTCTTAATTTTCAGTTGCATTCAACGCCACTTTAAAGCAAAGAAACCCCGTAATAAGCCAACACTGTGAGGCACTATTCCCATCATCCCTTGTCCCCACCCCTCCCGTCTCCGTCCGTACTGCTCTCCAAAATACACATTACTTTCCTAATTGTAGTTATGGCTAGTATAACTCATATATATTCGTCGTAGTTAAAAAGCTTTAAACAATATAGATGATTCACTCCACGATAATCCTTGTAATTAAGTTAAGTTTTATGTCTCCAGTATGTCTGTTCAACTATTGTCTGCTTTCGGCTTCAATCCAATTTTCTTTACTGCTAATTCAAAAGATGGCGACAACACAAATTGGTATTTAATTACGGAGAACTATTATTCTCTGCTTTAAACGGCCCGAACAACGGGCGTTAGTATAGATGGTACCTTTATTTGCCTCACATTTAATTAAAACGAGCTCATAATTAGGGAAGACTGAGTTTACATTAATCAAAAAAGTTTTCTTTTTAGCCTACAGTTCCTTCCCTAAATTCTAGATACTGACAAGTGCTGATTAACAGCAAAGTGAAAGCAAAGTTGGTTAAGTAAGTAAAGTAAAGAAAAGTAAAGAAAATGATAGGTGTTCAGCTCATTTTTCGCCCCACGTAAGGGAATACACGACAGTCTTGGATTTGAGATTTCACCAAGTGGATTCCGGATTCCCTGGTACTGGATTCCAATCTTTGCCAATGGAACTTGGATTTGGCATTCCTTGAACTGTATTCTGGATTCCAAAACCCAGGATTCCAGATTCCGCAAGCAAAAACTTCTTGAATTCCGGAATCCGGATTCCCTCAGAGGCGACATTTTCTTTATCAGATTGAACTGTTAGAGTACCTCAGTGAGTTGAGTTCCCGGGTATTTTTTGTACTTAGGAATCAATAGCAAGAAGGAAACTATATGGCTACAAAAAATCATTAATTAGAAGTTTAAGAGTTTGTCTGTCCCTTGAAATGCATGCCAGCCTTCCAGGCCTATTAAGCTGGAATAATGTAGTGGCAATCTGAAATTGTAGGTTGATAGCCCTTTTAATTTTACCAAACGACCGATAAAGAAGGCAGAAGGTAATCATGGGCATAAAAATACTTGAAATTCAAGTGTTTGTAAGGACCTTCTTTTTCCTTGTTTTTGACTAAATAATCTGCAAAAGGAGAGAAAAAAAAAAAATGAAGGCTCAGATGATATTGTTTGGACACATAAAAGGAGATTAGAAATTTTAAATATTTTTCAGTTCCTTTTCATCCACTTCTGCGGGAGATTACACTAACAATTAAAAAGAACGTACCTTAGTGGTTAAAGACAAGAATTGTTGTCGGCTACTTTAGCTGATTAGATAATAGCATTTAATTTCAGCTACAAAAGGATCCCGAGTACTCAATTTTAGAATGTTGAATGCTATGAACTTTTGCAAAGAACAAACGAAAATAGCGGGTACGTTCCCAGTTTAGAACAAAGAATAAACAAAACAAAAATGATCATGCTGTGTTTTGCCCAAAGAAAAAAAACTTTTACCAGCTAAATATTTGCCTTCAATACTTCGGTACCGGATCTTCTGTAAAGATAAATGAAAAAAAACCCACATAGATAAAAAACAACTTAGCAACGTCAGCTTTTACAGAAACTTTGGCACTGCTTGGTGAGGGGAACGTGAATAATCCTTAGTTCAGTCGGTCGGTTTTGCATCTTTTTTACTGAGAACGTAAGCTTTTAAATTTCAAAAAATAGCTTTAGAACAAAGATAATAAATCCATTGCGAATTTTTTACCGACCAAAATTTCAACGGCAGCCATGCTAATTCAGATAAAGTTTACTCCTTGAATATGTAATCTGTCGTAACCTGCTCTAATCACTGACAAGAGCCAATCAAACGGTAATCCCATAAGCTCTCTTATTAATGCTTTGTTTTTGGCTTATAACAAGAGAAAAAAAGAAAAGAAAACACTTTGTATTTTTATGCCAAAAACCATTTAGACTACTAAGGACTTAAAGGGTACACAGTCTGTATATTTGTTCAGTCAGAGATTATCAGTTTGGCCAAACATTAACCTGAAACCATAATATTTGAAGAGGTCTAATTGCATACTGATTTCACCTCTCTTGCGCATTCATATCAACAGTATTCCGTGGATTTATTTTAAGGCTCAGAACATCGCTTACTTTGAAAAACTCAACACATCTTCCGCCATTTATACCAAGCATTGCTTTGTTCCTGGAAAGCAATTTTAGGACTGTGTAAAAGGAAGGCTTGTTATGATGAGAGGTCGGTGAAGGAGTCCATGCAATTACGGACAGCTGTACGGACAAATAACTATAATTATAGCTCAACGTTCTGCATTCCCTATACCACGTTTAAGATTCTGAGAACAAAAACCCTTCACTAACTTTTCATATTTTTTATTACGGGAGTTTTGAGCATCAAGAAATGTCAAGGTGTTTTAATCCACTTCCACGAATACTAGAAGAGCGTGAAACGAGCAGCGAACAGCAGTTGCCTGAAGTACGGAAGGTTTCCTGGACAGCTCACAATATCTCTCAAGAATGGCTGAAGCGAATGAGCTCCATAATTTCAGTGAAAAGTGACACCGAGTCTATTAACTGTGATGTTATTTCTGCTTCCAAATACAATGCACTTAAGCACAGAGATATTAGCCGCCGCTCTCGAAAATGCCACGATTTTATTTCTACCGTTGGCAGCCCTAAAGAGGCCGGTTCAAATTCCAAATCATCTATCGAAGACACTTTAAGGCGCAAACCTGACTCAATGTATATATCTTTGGTGAGCAGAAGCACGAACGAAGTACCTGTTTTGCCAAGCAAATGACATGATAGACATTTTACGTAGCCCAGTGCAAGATGTAACGAAATGGACCGGGCAGCACAAGCTCAAGTCATAGAGAGGTGCACAACCACAAATGAACCGTTCGGTATGAAGGTCCTAAGGCAAAAAAAATACGCGATTGATTTCTTTTGGGAATTATCCTGAAAGAAATTTGAAATTTATCCTATGCTACTACGTTTGAGCACTATTTTAGGTTCCTGGGTAATCTTCCCTGATTTGAAATCTATTTCAATTATAATTCGTTTGGGAAGATAACTGACCTCTGGACCAGTGTACCGAAGTTTAAGAAATACATTTATTTTGGGATCTTAACAGCGTCCTTACCGCGTCCGTAACGCGATGCAACGCTTGGATAGATGGGAAGGATTCTCACGTTCCTCACCTCGCTCGCCCGCCGGGAGCATTTCCCACCTGAGCATATGGACTCTTGACTAGTTTTTTTCGTTCTGTTTTGGTCTGTTATGCTTTTTTTTTCGGTAGGGGGGGGGGGGGGGGGGGGGGGGGGGAAAAATCGGTTTTTTGTTTTTCGTGGTCCCGTTTTTTCTTCTTCCCCCCCCCCTTTGTGAAGGCGACTGACCCCGTGGGGTTCGAAAGATTGGCGGGTGATTGTTGGGGGGGTGCGTTTAGAAGAACCCTCAGGAAGAGGTCACACGTTTTNGAAACTTGGCAAGGAAATACAATTTACCTTGCATGCTTTACGTACATTTACAACGCTTACTTATATAACTGTATAATTTAAAATACCCCTTAAAACCTTGAAGTAGTCATTCGCGTCAATAGCTACAGTATTCTTCTCATGTAGAAACACAAAATAGGCCACTGCCACATGAGCAAAAGGAAAACTCAGAATTCCTTACACTTTTTTTCTGATATATATGTACTAGGTAATCAACGGCAACAAGAGGACATGTTCTCTTGATAGCAATTATAAATTAGGAATGAAAGTTGGTCTGGAATCCCTTTAACTGCTGCTTCCAGACTTGAAAAACGATGAAAAATTCGACATACGACTTTTTAATTTGCAGGGGCAGGTAAAAACTACAAATTTCTGTTAATCCGAGTGATTTGCTCCTTGAAGTACTAGGCAACCAACGGCAACAATACTGTACTTACTCCGTATGATTGAAAAATAAAACGAATTGAATGGGTTGAAAGTTGTTCGCCAAATACTGAGGACGTAAGACCGCACTAGCCTGGACACTAGTTTTGTCACTTTTGAAAAACGTTTACCTCAACCTGAAATCAAAGTTACGCGTCGTAGACATCTACAAAATCGCTTTAATTGTGCTTTGTGGTTTCTTTGATATTCGATCTTTTACTCAAAACCTGTTCCTGAATATTATTTACTCATTATTTACTCATCTTCTTAAATTATTTTATTGTATTTGGCTAAAACGGATGGAATCAAGTATCCAATTGAAGATCGGTGGGTCAGATCTACGGGTACAGTTACATCTGCAGCGGGATATACTCTGAACTTCCAGACAACTCACGTTGAACGTTTTGTCGTCCGTTCGAACACAAAAGTTTCCTTGGTGAAAATGCAATGCATTTCAGAGTCTTACAATTTTTCGCCCTACTCTGTTTTCTACAATCAGAGGTGAGAGATTCACTTGTATAAGAATACGTTCCGCTGTGTGGTGCTCCTTCCTTTGTTTCATGCATGAAACCGCTGATCAATGAAATGTAGGTCGAGTCTGGCTTGCGGAATGTAGAGCTGTCTTTTTTCGAAGAAGCGGGATCGCTGCTTTCTTGATCTGTGAGTCTCATCACTGCCCTTTCAAATGATAAAGACGCGTTCTGACGCGAATCCTCTAATACTACTTGCTTTTCAGCCCCGGTGAACTTTGTCAAGGGATAGTTTACAGAATGAAATGGCCCTCGAGGTTTGTCAGTAATTGACAGAGAAAAGCTTTCTGTACTAATCTTATCAAGCGAGTCATGCGAAAGCTTGTCAGTCCTTTTAACCTTTTGTATTTGCTGAAGCTGTGTTGTAATTTCATCTTCTGTAGTTTCGTCTTCTTCTGTTACACAAGGTAGCTGATGCAAACGTTTAATGAATGGAAAAGAGTTCGAGCGCGAACGCCTTCGTCTAACTTTAATTACTGGAGCCGCAATCAAAGTCGACCTCAATAAATTTATTTTGGATAGCCACTCCTCTGATAGCTTGTTGTCCGCCCAGTTTATCGTCTGAACATGCACATTGGAAACACAACGGTGCGCTTCTTTTGGCGCCTCTTCCACTGATTCTTCTTCTTCTATAACCCTCGGTAACGGATTCCAACGTTTTATAAACGGGTAGGAATTAGAACGAGGTCGGCCACATTTGGTTCTGTACCATGATACATTGCTTACTTGCTCCACATAAGATCGAGACAAGTTTGATGAGCATGTGAACGATGATGACGTTTTCAAAACGGTTCCTTTTTTATCAGGAAGCATGAACGGATTTTTTCCAACGTTTTGTCGTCTCGAGCAATTTTCCTCAGCGGGGCAATTGGTGTCTGCAATGATCTTCATTTCTGCAATGAAAAATGATGCCAGATTTGGTTATACGTACGCGGCCTTATCACATCAGATTTCATTATCAAAGTCCTACTTTTGGCGACCACCCAGAATACTTTAAATGGGAGTCATTTCAGAAATTCGCGATAACCCTGAAAAATGGTCCTATTCAGAGTACGGAATTTTTGCGAATGAAAAACTCGCGGCGACGAACTGCTTTAACAATACTTTGCCAAAATCAGTTCACAGTTTTTAAATTGCTTCTATCGCGTGATAAACTCAGTCTATATTGCTGAGCGACGGCCTTTGATGCATGATCAGAAAAGAAAAAAAAAGTTAATTTTGTAATAGTTGTGAACTCAAATGCAAGCACATGCTGGAGATTGACCTTTAAATTGTGGATTATTATAAGCGGTTTATGATTAGTAATCTTAAATTCAAAGTCCAGACAGGTGCGAGGCCAAGAACAATCATGATTCTACACTGACTGACTGGTTACCGGTGTACCAAGGAAGAAGTTATTCTCCTCTCTTCTCACTTTGTTTTTCTTGGCAATTTGTATTACTGTTCTTTTGTTCTTGGTTTACGGTGTAAGCAACGTCTCTATGATGAATGCAGCCATTATTCGGATTTGAAATTGTTTTACTGGTGTAGCTTCTAGCTGGGACTTCCTCCTTAGTATTCCTCAGTAAACTATGCTCATCAAGCCTGTTTCGACAGTGCAAAAGCCGAAATTTGCAGGAAATTCTTAAACAGGATATGACACCACTTGAATTTTTGTTTATTTTTTCTTTCAAATTGCTTTAGGCTAAAGGTAAAAGGATTTAAAGGAAATGGTCCAAATCCTTCGAGAGATGTCTATATGCGATTAGATAACAGTGCAAACTTTCCGGCGGAGTGTTCAGTTTAGTGAGGCGACAGTGAAATCAGTTTAGCGAAAGGACAGATGAATATATATCAGATGGATGGCAAATTAATGTTGGCTCATTTATTGGGAAGAGATAAGAAAAGACACAAGCCAACAACATCGAGGTACTTTAAAACGTGACATGGATATTGCGCAAGAAACATTCCAGTATCCATGGAACAGGGGAGAGAATGCACGATGGGAAATTATTGCGGTCTTTACAAATTACGTAATCTCAACCAGGACTTGAAGGATAGTTCAGTTTTCGGTCCACTTTGTTTGTAAGCTTTCGGTTTTGTATGTTACAGAATAGCTATTATACTGAATATTGATCGCGCGATGTTACTGCGACAGAGTGATGCTTTAGATCGGTCCGCACGAAAGATGCCAGTATTAAAATTAAAGAAAAATAGTGAAGTCATCAGCAAAAATATAAACTTAAACGAAAAACGTAAACCATTAAGCAATAAACTACACATGCCGTGACCTACACTGGTACAGCCTGAAGGCTGGCCAAGGGCAATGTGTCAGAAAAGGTTTTGTGCTTAAAGTTGACACAAACGGCAACAATATAACATAAAGTCAAATATAGAATCGTCTGTCCGTAACTAAAACAATAAGAACCGCATAAATTATTTCATATATTTGCTTAATAAAATTTGTAATTTGCTTTTAGGCTTGGGGTTCTGATGTTTTGATTCGATGTGCTTTTATAAATATGCTTTCAGTGTGAATACGGGCAGGAACTCTACTAATTCCTCACTACGGACACAGCGTTGTACAGAAAGTTGTTTATTCGGCCCCACGTCCGCGTATAAATTTTTATACAGGTAGATCAAGAGCGTCTCTGTCGGACTTTATGCTGTTCATATATTTACTGCCTAGTTTCGGGGAAAGAACACAGATCTTTTGTAAAAAATGAAAGAGATTGAACATAAAACTGACGTATTTTCGAAGCGGTTTGTTGCAGTTACTTTACTAAAACGGCACCAAAAAAGTCGAATTAATATCACAGACACGAAGAACGTGGAAATCAATATAATTATATAACAATAAGGATGCAGTAATTGTTTCAATTTTCCCGATCAAAATAAACTGCTAATATCAGACGTTTTTGTTTTGAACAAAAATCTAAATTAATCGGCCATATCATCTGCTTGTCCTTGGTTTCCATGGAAAAAGGGTTTTGAACAGAGTGCGGTTCGGGGACAACATTAAAGATTTTGGAAACTTTAAAGAAGCCGGCCAAATCTATAACACTGTCGCCCTTACACTTGGCCTTCACACTGCGGTACATTGCTTGGTGATAGATCTCTTTTTGGGAGGAATTCCATCGTCTTAACAAGCTTTCAAACTGTCTTGACTGAGAAAAATAATAAATCCGGTTCAGTAATTTACAGCTGGATTTAACTGATACATTACAGTGAAGGGTATATTAAATATGCTTTTATCACTGCTGTAGACACCGTATGCACTTTGCTTTGGTCTGAAATTTCCTCGGTCCTTTATGAATAACTAATGATAATTATTAAATAAAATATATAATATATGATTATAACAATTTTTATTGATCGTTATTATTCTTATAAGTAGTGGAAAAACTTTGAAGACATTCTTTCGTCAAGAAAAAAAAAAAGAAAAGAAAAAATCTTTTTATTCAAACTAGTTCAGTGCACAGTGGCAGAAAGGCACGGTTACAAATTACAATCCGGTCCAGTAATTTACAGCTGGATTTAACTGATACATTACAGTGAAGGGTATAAATATGCTTTTATCACTGCTGTAGACACCGTATGCACTTTGCTTTGGTCTGAAATTTCCTCGGTCCTCTATGAATAACTAATGATAATTATTAAATAAAATATATAATATATGATTATAACAATTTTTATTGATCGTTATTATTCTTATAAGTGTGGAAAAACTTTGAAGACATTCTTTCGTCAAGAAAAAAAAAAAGAAAAGAAAAAATCTTTTTATTCAAACTAGTTCAGTGCACAGTGGCAGAAAGGCACGGTTACAAATTACAAACAGTTTCAAAGCGCCACAAAGTTTTGCTTGAGTCTAGCCTAGAGCACACAAGACAAGTCAAAGATCTAGTATTTTCATGTAGACTTGTACGGTTATTGCAGTTTCAAGTATTTTACGTTTGCACTATTTCTACATCGAAAAACAGAGAAAATAAAAATATAAACATTAGACAAAAAAAAAATAAAAATAAAAAGTGTTAACTGGGAATTAAATGAAAAAAAAAATATAACCGACGAATAGTACTCGATCGGGTGTATTCGATGGTTCAGTGCTAGCATGTTAGGTGGTGTGCAAAACGTGACTACGTTTTCTCATGATTTCTAGTGCACGCGAGCGGAACTTGTAAACTTAGTATTTTCGTGTAGCATCGCGATTATCGTTATGTCTTAAATCATGTCGTTTTTAGTTTATTTTATGTTTGCACACGTCTTATATCTAAAAAGTCCACATTATAAAAAATGAAAGTGTTAAGACTGTTAGATGAATAGAAAATAGCAGGCGAAAATTATTTAGTTTTCTCCGGTTCACGCACCGGTGTGAGACTTTGGACACTAGAGTGCGGTGCTTTCAATGGTATGCAGAGCGTATTAACTTTACTTTCAGCATTTTCGTCTTAATAAATATCGCTCACCTGAAAGAAGAAATTTCCAGATTTCTTTGGGTACCTTTGACGGCACGGTGGAAAATGAAGATCTTTATTCGAACGCGCGCGTTCCAGTTATGTACTGGAGACGTGATGCTTGCACTCAAGCTTAAATAATTTCAATTTGCAGATTATTGACAGACAGGTCAAACAATGGCGTGATGACAGGTCCATTAAAAAACACCCATATCGGCATAATTGATTAGACACACTGTTATTCATCTTGGACGTTTACAGTACTAGATGCTGAGCTGACTAATATGTTTACAGACCTTAAAAATACCTTTTGTCCTCACTCGAACTATCAAAAATTCGTGTCAATTTAAATATTGTTCAGGTGTTCGGGTGTGAGTGAGTTATATATAGCAATGGATATCTTTTATATTATTTGTTTTGAAAATTTTTTTACTATTCAGTGCGAATGACGCCTCTCTTACTGAAGTTTGTTAATATGAATCACCAAAAATGTACAAAATTTGCTGATCTGAACAATAAAATTTTTCAGCCTGTAAATGCTACTTTAAAAGTATAAGAAGGTGAAAATTAGGTTAACCATCGGTTTCTTATTTTAGAGTGAGAAATATGTAAATCGGAGTGCCCCCGCATGATTAACTTTTTGTAAAAAGGAATTCTTGTTCAATTTTTTACAACCCACGAGACAGCGGGATGTGTTTCGTGATCACGTACAGAAGTTACTCCGCACGAAACAAACTGATCAGCGATAAAGAAAGTCACGCTCTGAGATATATGCGCGCTCGGAAGACAACACCATTATAAATGCATATATTCTTGGTTTGATGTGACAGCTTCAAGTATTTTCTTACCCAAAGGGCATATAACATATAACATCTAGTTTCGTTCTCTTCTGAGGCAGATGGCTGGTATGTTGTAGTTACATGCAAAAGCGTTATTTAAAATGCAATTAACACAGACTGTATAGATACCACGCTCGCTGTATTTTTGTTTTTTGACTGATGTTTATTTGAATCAATTTCCTCTTTCTCCCTATTGTTTATCTGGGGAACATTTATAACACTGTGCGAGCTACAGTTCCTGTCAGAGTGTCGGAAATTCAGCTCTTTTCCTTCGTATACCACTTTTCTTTCTTTTCTTTTAATATAACAAAAATTAAGCCCTCAATAAATCTTCTAATTTTACTGAAGCCAACTGATCTATATACTTGGATTACCGACTCGAGACCTGTTTTCCGAGCTTTGCAAAGGAACTCTTACGACTACCCTTCGATCTTCCTGTATATAAGCCACTCACTATGTTCTGAGAATATAGAGATTAGGTGAAAGGTTTGGAACTCTGGAATGAATGTAAAAGCTGCGATCAGGCGGTCCTTGTTCCCTTTAAGTTAAACTGCGAAGATTAAAGGTCCTCCTGCTCGAAGACATGTACGTAGGAGAGGCTTGTTATTGTCAAAATGGATATTTCGTGGGAAGTATGTTTAAGGAATCACGTTACTAAGTGAATTAATCCCTTTTCTAGAAACTTTCCTTTCCTTTTTTTTTTTAATTCTCTCTCTTTTTTTCCTCAGCTCGGACTGTAAAGGAATAGCACTTTGACACTGTGAATAGTTGACGTTGAAGCCCAGCATAAATTATTACAAGTTTTGATGCATTTTAAATAAACTTGGAATTTTTCCAATCGAGAGGAGCCCCTCCGAACTCTATAGGCAATAAGAAGCTAAAAATGAACGCGACATATGATGCAAACTGCGTGATTTCTTGTCAAAAATTAGCGATTGCGATCTGCCAGTTAACATCAAAAACCTATAGTTCATTTATCAATTCATCTTATTCACGGTGTTAGACACACGAGTATAAAACATAAAAGCACAGAGCCGGAAGCATTTTTGCGCGCCACAAGTTTTCGAATGCTTTCTATTTTACTAATTATTTTTAAAATTTCTAGCCTGTGTGCCAAGTTGCACAGCACTCACGAAATTAGATGAGGCAGGAGGCGGGGGAGGCTATGAGACGATCGTTTTCAAAATTTTTCGGAAACCTCATGACCTCTCACGTGTGTTTCGCCGTTTTACGAGTGAATACTAAAAATAAAGTCACGAAAGCGGAAAACGGACGTTTTAGTTACACCCGTTTTGTTGTTGATAACCACAGATATTTACGAAAACATCACGATCAACGATTTTGAACGCAGACGGCGTGTTTTTAGAAATAAGAGTACCATCTTTCATTTTGGCAATCGTTAAATGAATTGTTTTCGAAGGAAAAAAAATAGAAATGTTTTACACAGACATGATACCGCAAACGGCTCATCTAGACAACCTGTTGTAGCATGGAGGTTGCTTTAAATATTAATGCAAGGTCGATGAGATGAACTTGACAATAAAATTAAGGTCACTGGAAAGGGGAAAATATGCTGATTCGCTTTGTGGCCCAATGATGCTTGACATAACCAGGGGAAAAAGCTGCCAGCCCAAGACAAAGATTTTGAAAGTATTTTACATAACTGTGTTATTCTAAAAAGTAAAAAAGTTGAAGCAGGAATCCAACTAATGGCCCCGCACATGTTTCATTCGGTTCTTGCAGTATACATGTTTATCGTTAAGTTACATAACCATAACAGTAACACCAAAATAGATCGACAGAAAAGTAAGAACATTCCAAAACCAATCTTACAAAATGTCAACTTTTCCTGTGACAAAAGAAGGCTGAACTAATACATAACATCTGATTTTGATATCAGGGTTCTTAGGACTTCATAAGGTAGCTATATAGGTTATAAGACTTGTCGTACAACACGTACATACGACGCACCAGAAATACATACTCTGAATAGTTTAAGGAAAAATTTCAGCGAAAATTATTTGGAACTTAACTGAGAGCAAAATCAGTTTTTCATTTACTTGTTGTTGTTGATCATGATCGACAGTCTGCCAATTTTGATTAACTCTATTTTTTTAGTTTAAGTTGTTTCAGTTTAGTTGTAAACCAGTAAGGGGTCGTCAGCCAAACGTAGACAAATTTTTTCTCCAAGTCCGCTATCATATGGTTAATGAAATAAAAGATTTAGCCTTTCTGATTATTTATAACAAGAGAGGATAAAGGGGACAGAGAAGGCATCCCCTATACATACCCTATAAGTTACCTTGCGCGCTGCGTGGATGTTTCGCGGAGGTTTCGCATGACTAAACGTCGTGCAAAACATGTCGGGCGAAAGGCAATGAAAGCGTAAAGAGATCGAGAGCATTTCTGAATATTGAAGCGAAATGAGTCGGCGCTCATCTGGCAAAAGGGAATCGCTGCAATCTTTGACAACCCGTGAAATCAGTTTAACTCGAAGTTGTCGTAACCTCAGTGCTTTAATAAAATGAGAACTTTCGCCGTTCTATTGAAACCGGTCGTTTGTATAATAAGGCAATTAGGACGCCAAGTGTTATTTTTGTTGAATAATAAAGGACTAATAAAAGAATAAATATCAAACCAGAAATTGCTCTCTTCAAACTGTAAATTATAAATGATCCTGAGAGCTGAATATTCAGTGTGTTAAGGATTTCCCTGCTGTACTGTTAGCTCTATACCGGAGAGGAAGGGAGATTCTTTTTTAATTTCCGTTTTCGCTGACACAGCTTTAGCAGAAATCTCTCTTTAGTCGTTTTCGTCGACAAAACAAATAGCAATTTCGCTCTCCGCGTCTTCCGCCATTTTTTTCTGCGTCAATTCGTGAAGAACACGTGGCTCTGAGCGTGGGTCATTCACGCGGAACACATTCGCGCTATGTGATTGGCTGTTGTCTAATCCCCCTTCGGGATCTATGGTCTTAAAAATAACTCGAGACGAATTACCTATGGAATAGGGTGTGTATGGGGGATGCCTTCTCTCTCCCCTTTATCCTCTCCTGTTTATAATTATTGCGGGCGACAAGAGGAACCCGCAGTCCTAATCTCCAGGTTGTTATCACGCATGCGTCGTAGGTATGTAGCCAGCATTCGTTTGGACTTCCACTAAGAATGAATGGAATGCACAGAACGCAATTTGATCGAGCTCGTTTCGACCTTCTGCCCCTCGTAATCTGATCACGCGTGTTTTGAAAATCTGTGAAGTCGGTGAAACGTGCGCAAGCACAGCGATGGAACGGAGAGCGAGCAAAAGCGTTTGGACGTCCGATCGTTGTCGCGCGCACCCTCTGATCTTTGGTTATTGCTAGTTTATACGTCTATTTCGTATTTCTGTTGGGTCAGCTTTGGTCCAGTCCCGGCCCTAGGGCGGTTCCATTACTCCGCGCAGACTCGGGTGACGTGGTTTGAGAGTTTGTGTCACCGACATGCATTGAACGAGAAGGCCTGGGGAGATGCCGAGCAATGACTAGTCAAAGTCAGCTTCATTCTGAAATGGTGGTCAATTACTTTAGTTGTGGACTGCTCAGGAGGTGCTCTATAGTTTGTTACTTGACTTGTCCCCAGTAGTCTTCGCCTAACGCGCACGGCAGGAGCAGGTGGTGTGATGGGAAGCTAAGGGAGAAGAGAGGAAGACGTCCAGTCTCTCTCTCTTTCTCTCTCGCTTTCCTGCTTCCCATCACATCCCGCGCGTCACAAAAGAGAGGCTGTGTGGAGATCCCCGGGGACGGGTACATCAGGTTTGTGACTAAAATAAAAAGACTAACAAGTATCTGAAAAAAAAATATATTTTTTTCGCACAATCTGATTCTGAACATAAGGGAGAAGAAAATCACAGTTAAAAAGATACATTTGGTTGTTAAAATCCTAGATCCCTTGCTTATGGACGTGAAAAGCTGAACTCGCGAAGGCTCTTTCGGACAGAAGCCTTTGTTTGTTCCACTCGGAACGGTTTGACGCCGTGATGCAGGTCAGTGTGTGTGGCCTTAAAAAACGAATCATCATCCATGTGAGACATAAATAATATAATCAGTGACTCATCAGATCAAAGACTGACAGTATTTCTCGTCTTTATCGATCAGTCAGTGTAGCTCTCTTTTGCACTGGAGTTCAACTAGTTGTGGAGGTATGATCGAGCGACTTGCTCTCTACGCGAGACACTTTTCATCACAAATTGCAGTTCTTGTAACGGGTTGGAATGTTGATAATAATATATGACTGAATGAATACTTAGTTACTTATTTTATTTGACTGTATTACGTTTAATTGAAAATAGTTTTCTATTTATATTATTACCTGTATTAGTGTAATGTTTATATGTTTAGTGTGTTTTTGTTCGTTGTTGCTCAGGGCTCCCATTGATAACAGACAGCTTTTTGCGTCTGAAGGGGCTATCCTGAGCGGTATAAATTAATAAAGGTTCTTCTTCTTCTTCTTCTCTTTTGCCGAAAACGGTCTAAACAGTAATTTAACTCCGTGGTTAATGACACAAGTGGCCAGATACTATTCTCTGTTTTCATGCAAACTATTCAATACAGAATGTCCAGAATCTGGGAAATGAAAGAAGATAAATATACAAAAAGCCTCGCCTGGAATTAGGCCTGTGCGATATGATATTATATGCGGGATATTAGCAAAAACGTTTTACCCAAATTAATAAAGATTTGTATGTAGACGCCATGATGTTGGTGTCTCTTTCATCTGAGTTCTCCTAAAAATGCGCGCATTTATCCCTTGAGGAACTCAAAAAGATTGAAGTTATGTTTATTCTGAGACAACGAATGTTTAGATAGCAAAATCTCAAAAAATCGGTAATGTTTTCAAACGATATATTGAGCTTTCCCGGCGGCCAGCTAGACGCCGCGTCCTCTATCGCAAAACTAATGGGGCACTGCAAATTTGGAGGAAGGTGGTTTGTTTCAGTAGGGATTTTACTTTTCTTATAGATATTTCAAATTTAATAGCCACTCCTCACAAGACAAACTTACAGCAAGGGGCATACATACACCCTTTACTGTCTTTGATACACGGGAATTTTCCCCGTTCATTGACCCGACGGCTATGCCATGCTGATGAGCCCCAATAAGAGCGAAACTGCTGTCCATGGCTGCCACTGCCTGGGTGATATGGCTGTGCGCATGCGTGGGGTACTGGCCAGGCCGTAAGTTGGTGAATGTGTGCCCCTTGCTGTAAGTTTGTCTTACTCCTCCTCATAAGCATTTATTTTTTATTATTACTAATGTATTATCTTTGTCGCTTGACTTGCCACAGCCATTTTTGACTTTTTATTTCAATCCTTATACTACTACACGAGAAATTTGTGCAAAATATTGGCTTACAACAGTGGTATTTCAGCTTAATTTGAAATACCTGGGACTAGAGAAAAATATCTAATAATTACGAAGGAATGGATCATTTGACAAATTCCCTATTAATTTAGCTTATTTGACTGTAGATGAAAGATACCGGAAGGAAAAATGATTGTGGTTACATTCATTAAAGTGCGTGGTGTAATCTGCAAAGTCCAAATTTTGCATTATTATGAGTGTGGCTGGTCATGTGATCTGAAAAAAGTAGTGTGTTTAATGTCCAAAATGGTTCTGGTCTTAAACACAGCGGTCCATGGTTAAAATGAATGAAGATACTGGAAAAAACAAGATCAAATCATAGAACCCAGCATGTAACGAGGACCCATGCCTTAATTCACCTGAGGAACCCTTTCAAAATGAAAATTTGTA